CCAACACAGACTTAAACCCATGCTAATTTGTTGTTTCTAAGGTTTCTTCTTACAAGATAAATTAATCTCTAACCCAAAGGATATGTGGCTATGTTTGATGTCAGTGAAGCCCCAGTGATCACCCAGCCAGGGCACAGGGCTTGGCCTGAAGCATTATGAAAGTAAGAAGCATTTTCCCTGGTGAGAGATCAACTGCTCTTGGTGGAAGAGGACATGAGCTCTGCTGCCATGCATTTGCATGGCACTGGTTTGCTTCTGCTGCGGGAAGGAGAGGACACACAGGAGTCCTCGTTGTGTCTGCAGGACTCACAGGGATATCTGTTCCAATTCATTAAGTAGTGCTCTAAGAAGTTACAATAATAACATTTCAAGAGAGCTTCCAGAGGGAGTCTCAGCAACTACAGGAAAAGCCGACAAGTTTCAATCCATTTATCAAAGCACTTCAAGACAGATGAAACAGCAGAGCTGCTTAGTGAGGAATGTCTCCCTTTCTGGGTGTCCAGAGCATTTCAGTAAATAAAAAGCCCTTTAAAAATAAGTCAATACAATGGAATCCCTTTTGCCTTTTGCCAGCGCTTGTATTACACTTACACCTAAATGACCCTCCTACCTATAATACTGCAGCATTTACATACACATCAAATGGGTGCTTTTCACTTACATAATACGTTTAATCCATGGATTACAGAGCACGTAACATATTAAACATTACAACACCTCACGAGGTAGGTCAGCATTATTGAAGTTGCAGCGGGTAAACTGAGGCACAGGCTAGCTTTATGACTTGCCTGTGGTCTCGCAGCAATCAGCGGAAAAGTCATTAAGACGCTCTTCAGAAGAACAGCAGAAACATCTGCACATACTTGTACGGGTAAAATAGGCTAATCCACATTTTGAAAGCCAACTTCAGCTACTCATCCAGAGATACTCAGGTCCTGATTTTATGGGAGCAGGAGAATAAAAAGCAAATAGAAGAAGATAAAAAGAAGAGAAAGTAAATATTTGCTGTTAGAAGTAACTTTTTTTCCTGCATGCCAAGTTGTGTACACAAAACAAGAGGCATCTAAAGCTGAAGGACACTTTAGATGCTGGTCTCCAATAATTTGATTTTCCAAGTAAAGATTTTTCTAGAGCTGCAACAGGGGTTTTGTTTGGGTTTTGTTCAATAACGTCAGTTTACATTTAGTTTTCATATAACAGGTAGGAGGAAAAAAATCTTTGGTTAAGGTCTTTGAGCCAAGCATCTAGGATAAAATTTTCAAAAGCACTCAACAGTGGGTTTTGAAAGCAGAATTAGGCTAGTTGCTGAGACAAGCTTTGAAAGATACCCCCTGCCTCCTTTAGCATTTTAACTGACAGCTGATTCCCTCGGTTATGGTACTGTTCCCTGTTCTAGTCTCCCCATCTCATGGCCTTCACCAGTATTGCTAAGTCAAGGTGGATTTAAAACCAGGAAAATAAGCAGGAGACTGGGTAATGTGGGAGCTTGTGGTCATGACCTTCCCAGCATGTCTGCCGCCTGAGAGTGGTGTAGCTGGACATAGAGATGCTCCCTGGGTGGCTCCCACTTTCCAGCCAGCCTTTGTTCTCTTTGTGGGAGCACTGGCTAATAGAGGTGTACACCCTCCACCTGATGGTTAGGTGAGGCTGTAATTACCTCAGTAATAAAGGTTGGATTCTTCCCTGCTCTGCACCTCCTTGGCTGGTCAGGAATACTTGTCTAAAGTGGGTGCAAAATGCTTCCAGATCAGAAAGATGACATTTTACATCAATGGAAATGACCAGGTGTAAGGAGTAAAGGCCTACATGACAATGCTCTCAACTCTGTTGTCCTTTAATTAAGTAGTTCCTCAGGCAATGACACTAATGAGGCCTTGTTTCCGCAGGGTTGGATCCTCTAGTATCTAAATGGGATGTGAACTTTTCCTAGGGAGTGAGGCATTTATAATTTCTCCCTCGCAGGTAGTGTCCAATTTGGGTGGATGTCACGCTGCAACCTTTCTCTTGGTGGGGACGCCAGTGGGACTTCTCTCGACTGCTCATTTTCCTGAAACCAACAGGATTTTTTGAGAGCTCTGCTCTTCTATTCAATTTGGCTGATTTTGGTCAAAGGGCTTAAAGTTAGCAGGGGGATAGGAAGACAAATGCATCAAATGAGACAGAGCAAAGTCATAAACCTGCTTCTACTACGAAGGCTAAATACTGCTTTACTTACAAGTAAGTTTTTCTAGTTGTGCAGTAAACTCATAGGGTATTTTTGTGTTGCTTCAATAGGCATACCTGGCTGCAGCTCCTGCAAGCAGTACCAATAAAGGGAGTAGGTACAAATGAGTTATTTAGCTGGTGCAGAATAGAACTGGAAAGTTCATTAAATCCACAGACGCAGCAGTCATGTTCGCTGGGGACAGTGATGACTGGACAAGGTCACGGGTCTGAACGGGGAAAGCAACTGAACAAAGAAGCAGCAAGAGAAGGTTTTCTTTGGATTTGGCCCAGGACAGCAGTGACAACATGGCAGCCAGCGGGATGCATGCATCATAAAGCTGGTAATGCAAGCTTGGCATTATTAGTGACCTCTCTGGCCACAAGACTGCAGGGATAGCCCCCTTTCCTGTGCAGTGTTCAATGGCTTAGAACTGCTTAAGGCTCTTTAAAATGCATAAAACTTCCCCTTTCTGATACTGTTTTCTGTCAGGACAGACATCCAGCTAATGCTTTCACTTCACATGCTCCCGAATGCCCCATTAATGAAAAGGCACCAGCCTAGTGAGAAACCTAACATTGACTTCCAGAGTCCACATCCTTCATCAGATATACCACCACAGCACCCTAGTGATAGGGTGATAAAGCCAAGGCTAAACACACTGAAAACCTTATTCTTGTGATAAAGCCAAGGCTAAACACACTGAAAGAGCACCCAGGCTGCACTCCCCCATTTGCAGGATAAAGTTGGAGCAGTTCCCCCAAACACCACAGTGGAGAGGTACCAACTGTGGATGACACAGCTCCTCCACACCTAGCTAACCCCACAGAATTAGCAGCATTTGTAGGTTATGTAGAGTTAGTTTATGACATTATAACTGCCTAGGGAAAAGCAGACTATCTCCAAATCCACCCAGAGATGCCCCTCTGACCGCAGACACCATTTTACTTCTACTTGCACACAACAGTTTCCCAATCAGGTTTTCCGACATGAAGGGGTAATCACGTCTGTGTGTTTGTGAAAGACAGAAAGCTGGGCAGACCGAGGGCTGGGAGCTCTCCCTCTCTGGGTCTGTCCCTGTTGAACTCGTTGACGTGAGATGGAGATAGAAGCACCAGATCCCAACAGTACCGACCTGTTACATCCATACCTTCAGGAAAAGTCCAAGGAGCTACCAGCGGACCTTCCTGAGCAACAGATCAATACAGAGCTTCGTATCAACAGAGCCGATATTCATGCCAAAGGCAGTTGTTTGGATGAAGGGATGAAGAGTGCACAAGTTCACTGGTTCTCAGTATATAAGCTCTTTTTTCCCCCCTCTCCTGTAGATGCCTTCATTATTTATGTGTGACAAATAAAACATGGCAGTTGAGGATGCTAAAGTGTTTCTCAACATGCACCTCTGTTTTCCATTATGTTCGGAGCCCAGAGTGTGCACCCACATCGGGCTATGGGTACAGTGAGAAGCCAGCACACTGTTCTGGTCCACTGCAACCAAAGACTGTTTAAGGCATATAATAAAAGCCATTTCCAGCCAGTAGTGGATAAAATATTCACCTGCTACGTGCCTCTTACCCATGTGACTCCAGAAGTGACAAATTAT